TCCCCTTGCACAAATGTTTCATAAGCACACATTAATTTTATAATCATCATTGAATAAACCCAACAGACGCTTTACTCCGTTTTTCAGTCTTGTTACTGAAACTCGTCCGGATGTGCAATCATCTTTTTATAACTGCTGATTCTGGTAATCAAACTTTTTAAAATTCTTCTTGATTTTAATGCTGCTTTTGAATCGATAGATCATAATGTTTATTTATCAATGCTGGACAAATGTTTTGGTATAAAAATCTACCGTAAATCTTTGATGAGTTAAGTCCTATTTAACCAACAGAAATGTCTCCGTCGAGCTCTAATCTCATTTAGACCCTCAAGGCTCCAAAGTGGGTCCTGCTTTATACTCGTACCTGAAATACAACCTCTTGCATGCAGACAACCTTCAGGTCAACTTTTCTTTAAATTTCAGTGGATTCCAGTCAGATGAGAGGCTACTAAATGTTTGGTAGATGTAAAGCTTCTTCATCTAAACTGTTAAAAAGTAGAGGTTGATAAATCTGAGCTGCTGGCTGGATGGACTATTCTGGCTTTGTTGCCTTTAGGAATCTTGAGGGGATCTTTGATTTCTAAACTGATCTGTGCTGTAGTCCAGTCTCGTGTTTCTGTTCAGCTTTTTGAGGCCCGTTGGTGAAATTTAAGGATTATTGTCTTCGCAATGTAATTTCTTCTAGACTGTAGCACTGCAGCTGTCCCTATCTACTTCTTCTTCCCTCCCCAAAAGTAAAGAGCATGTGATCTGGAAAACAAAATTAGAATTGCTTGAAAAAAGCATTTTAAAAACTTAAATTTTAGACTATAAAATCTGCAGAAAAAAAAGAATTTGAAACTAATAAAATCTGAAAAAAAGTGCGTTTTTTTTTTTTTTAAGATGTTAAGTAATGGGCACTATTTACAAGTCTCCAAGTCAGGAGTGGGATTACATTTCTGGGAGGGTACAAAACTTTGTAGGAAACCAAATACGGGTCCAGCAAGAAGAGTCTGGATGTTCTGAAGTTCTTTTAGAAACCAGCATCTGTCATCAGTGAGCAGAACCTAAGACCTCTGCTGTGCTTTCCTAGTCAGATCTGTTTTTTCTCTGTTCTCAGGAATCTTCTGCACCATCTCCTTGTGCACGTATGCAGCCAGCGTGACCTATGACCTTTCCAGAAACCCGCCTTTCATCTACGGTCTTCCGGCTGACGTGGATCATGGCTACGGTTGGTCCATCTGCTGCGCCTGGGCCAGTCTGGGTCTGACTGTGGCCTCTGGCTGCCTTGGAACCTCCTTCCCTTTCCTGAGTCGGGCCGGAGCGCTCAGATCCAAAACGGCCCGGGAATCCTCAGTGTGAGCTGCCAGCTGTCGGTCAGGAGATTCTGGACAGTTTAGGCTCAGCTGCAGACCTACAGTTGTGTGTCGGACATTCGATCTGAGGTGGATGGGGTCACCTGTTTCTAGAGCCTTTGTGCAGCTTGGCGCCCCCTGGTGGATGTAAAGAAATAACTGTATGGCAGTTTGTTTTGGCTCTGAACCAAAAAGATTTACAGGATTTCTGTTACGACATCCCAGCTGTGCATGGCCGCAGGTGACGTTATAAGCGTTTGAAGAACTTGATGAAATTGCTTCATCAGTATCTAAAAGTTTGGACTCCGTAACATCTCAGTTCTCAGAAAAGGTCAAGAGGTTGTAAACAAATTCAGGGTAATCATCTCTACCCAGATCCATAACCTCTCCCCTATCTCAGTGGTTCCCAAAGTGTGGGGGCACGCCCCCTGGGGGGTCTCAGTGTAATTTCAGTGACCAGTTACCTGCATTAATAGAATTTATCTGATTAGATGACCAATTTTAAGATGTTGTTAAAAAAAACAAAAAACACTAATGCCATGTTGAATTATTTTATAAAGTAAAATAAACAAATCAAACAAAATCATTACACTTTGAAACTGATAAGATTATAGTTTGATTTACTGTAATATGTTTTACAGCAGTTGACTTTTATTTGTCATACTGTCAAAATATGTATGAGGTGGGGCGTGAAAACTTTATTTTAAATTAAAGAGGAGCCCACCAGAAACAGTTTGGGAACCACTGATCTATCTCATGATGACCAATCTAGGCTGTTAACCCATCTGAAAACATTAACCAATCAAAGTTGTTAACACATCCTAGAATGTTAACCTCTCTAAGTCGTTAAACATCCTAGACATTGACCAATCTAGGTTGTTTTACCCATCCTAGAATGTCAACCAATCCAAGTCATTCATCCTAGAAATGTAGGCAATCTAGGTCATTTACCCATCGTAGAAGGTTAACCAACCTAGGTCATTAATGCATCCTAGGTCGTAAACATCACAGTGTTTTAAAGAAGTTTCTCATGCTTCTTTTAACTTAACAGTTTGCACCAAGCAGTTAAGAAACTTAATGGTCTGAAGTTGCTGTGCTTCTGATGGAGTTCAAACTTTTATCTGCAAACTGAAATCTTCCTTTTTCTCACTCGGCTTGATGAACATCCAGTTTTCAGAAGGCGAGATCAGGCGACCTCAGCTTTATTATCTGATTGTTTTAAAAAAACAAACATCTGGTTCAAATATCCTGCCCAGAGCTTTAACATTCAGTGGAGTGAGAGGACTGTATAAGACCGATGGATGACTGGTTTCAGCACCTTTTTTTTGTTTTTTTGTTCGGACAACCAGACCTGCAAAATGATCTTGAGACTGAGGGGGATTTATGCTCTCATCATCAGGATTCAGAGAGTTCTGATCAACATAACCTAAAGAACCAGAAGGTGTCACTTCACCAGAAACAGAAATATATCAGTCTGCATTGATATATACAATAAACAAATAAAAAAATAGTCTGAAAAATCAAAAGTTCAACCGTCTGCTCCAGAACTTGGCTGTTCAGGTCTGGTTCCATCACTTCTTGAGGTTCAAACAGGATGGACACCTGGCCTGGTAACAAGCTGAAATGTTCTGTTAGGATGATTCCAGCAGCTTCAGGTCAGGAATATGCTGTCAGACACATTGGATCAGAACCCTCTGGAGATTTGGATCCCAGCTCCGACATAGCTGTGTAAATACTGTAAATGTTCTGATCCTGTCAGTGAATATACCGAAGCCGTGTTCTGATTGTCGTGATTATTCAGCTGCGAGCTGAGCCACAAACTGGACTGAAGCGGACCGACAGGGTTTTATCCCTGTTTAGAAAGTTTATCAGTCAGACAGAGGACAAAGTTCTGTGTGGCTGACCCTGTCGCTGCTGCTCATAATGTTTTCTTTTCAGGTGTCCCTGAACAGAACCAAGTCAGTCTTACTGACCACTGTAGTTCTACTTTAGCTGAGGCAGAACCTGTGACAGTTGCTCCCCAGGTACTGCTGGATCTTCTGCTCACTGCAGAACTGGGAACTGAAGCCAGACTCCTCTGGTCCATCTCAGCTGTTAAGGTTCCTGCCCTCTGCCTCCCCATTCTAGCTGCAAACGTTCCTTTAAAGAACCACCCTACCAGCAGCAGCCTCCATTCGGGATCTTCGCCCGCTCCTGGATTCTGCGATGTCCTGTCCCCCCCCCTGCTGGACTCTGGTCTTCTGGTGTTATTCTGATGTTCAACTGTAAATAAACAACGTAAACAGAACCAGAGCATCTGTCTCCTCTCTGCTTTGAGTTTAATTAATTTATTAAATGTATTTATAGAGGCATTTATTCAACCCAGCTGACTCTGGACTGTCGGACTGGGTCTGTTTTCTTTGAACCAGTGTCATGCTGCTCTGGTGAGGCCTCTTCCATTTCCTCATCACACCGCTTTGCTGCAGATGGTCTGTTTTCGCAGCACTTCATTGGTCTTGCAAACGTGTGAATTCAGTCAGTGTGATTTTAGAGAAACTTCATTTTTAGAAGCTTTAGCTGCTGTGAAGATCAGCTCTACGGGGTGCCCTGACTCATCAATGTTCCCTTCTAAAGAAGCAGAACCACAGAAAGAATGATAACCTGTTTGTGACAATGTTAAAACTAGTAATGTTGGAAAATCCACTGGATTTTTATAGAATCTAATCAAATAAAGTTCTTTAAAGTTATGTATTAAAACAGGAGGCTGTTTTAATACATAACTGATAACAACCTGCTTTACAGGGATCACATTGTCCAATATAATATTGATATATGCACTACTATGTATTAAATAACTTATTTGTTAGGTCCTCAGGTATGCTGATCTGTAATAAAAACAGTGGAAAAGTTTCATTACAGGGTGTTCCTGCCTAAATAAAGAACTATCAATATGTAAAGATGAGATTTCCTCTCATGGGCAGTTTCATCCATTAACCTCGAAAGCACTTAATGGAATTATAGCTACTTGCTCAAGCTTGGTACCATATGACAGCATAAGGTCCAGAATATGAAGACAAGAGCGTGTGGGTATGCTGATGTTTTGGACAAAGCCAGTTCATTTAGCATCAAAGGCTACATTTATGTTATTGTTTTATAGGTAATGTGAGAATGAAATTAAGAGTAAGGTTCTGGTGAATGATATCAAACTGCAAACAGGTTGGTTTTAGACGGCGTATTTATCAGGATGTTTTTTCTACTGTCCAGTTCATACCTGCTGTGTGGAGTGAAATCGGTTATTGATACATGCAAAATATCATTTTGTAAATGGAAATTAAAGAAATCAAATCAAGAAATTAAAACTTAAAACAAATTTTAATCAACATTTTGACTGAGTTAATAAGCTGTTTTACACAGATTATCTTTATTTTTATTTACAAGCTCCCCCCCACCAAAACTTTGGTTTTTAGATAGACAGTGGTTTTTATTTGGATCGGCAAATCAGCTCTGTTGTAAAATCCACCTTTTATCACATCAGATGATTGGCCAAGGTCAAATATTTTCTTTCACAGCAGCAGTTTGAAACAATGATTCATGCCTTTGTTGCATCTCAGCTAGATTACTGTTACGGCATTTATTCTAGGGTGAGCCAGTCCTCCCTTGCACGTCTCCAGTTGGTGCAAAATGCACCCGCACGCCTATTAACTGTACTATGTAAGAACGAGCATGTAACTTCCACCCTGGCCTCCCTCCATTGGCTGCCTCTGCATTTTAGAGTTCATTTCAAGATAATTTTCTTTTCTTTTAAGTCTTAAAATGGGTTGAACCCTCCCTACCTTACTGAGCTTCTCCACCCTTATGCTCCCACTCGGTGCCTCATGTCAGCTGACCTTCTGCTGTTGCAAATACCTAGGTCCAGACGGAGGCTCAGAGGAGACAGAGCTTTTTCAGTTGCTGCTCTAAATTTTGCAATGAGCTCCCCCCTCCTCATTAAACAATCCTCTTCACTGTCTATTTTTAAAACTTATCTGAAAACCCATTTCTATTTGTTGGCTTTCAGCACAGCATGAGACTCTCTGCGTTTTTGTGTTTTGTTTTATTGTTTTAGATGTGGCCTTATTTGTTTTACTTAATTTATTTTATTTGTTTTATTCGTTTAAACTTTCATGTTGATTTTATACATTTTAAATCTTTCTTGGTATGTACAGCACTTTGGCAGCTATTGTTGTTTTAAAGAGCTTTATAAATAAAAATCTTTAGAAAATTGAAAACATTATGTACAAACATGATCATGCTCTTCATCAGACTATTAAATACCAATGTGTTCAATGAAAGACTACTTTAGATCTGCTCCAAGACAGACTGCAAAATCCTTCCATGTGGTCTTTGTTGAGCAGAAGTTTGGTTTGCATTGCCAGCATTATGTCGGACTGGTTCCTAGTGAATATTGGACTCCAGCAGGACTGTCCTCTGTCACTAGTCTTACTTGTAGCGTTATGGACAGGATATCTAGAAGCAGCCAAGGGTCGGAGGGTGTCTGCTTTGAGGACCAGCGTATTATGTCACTGCTTTTCAAGATTATGTGCGTCTGCTGACTCCTACCCGCCGTGGCCTACACTGTGCCGGTTCGCAGTCAAGTGCGAAGCAGGCGGGTTGAAAATCACCTCCAAGTCTCAGGCCATTGTTCCTGACCAGAAAATGGTGCCTTATATCTTTCCTGTTGGAGGCGAGTTCCTGTATCAAGTGTTGGAGTTTAAGTATTTTGGGTCCTGGTTACGAATGAGGGTAGAATGGAACATGAGATTAAAAGACAGATCATCAATGCTGATGCTGCACCAGTCTGTTGTGGTGAAGAAAGAGCCGAGCAAACGGCAAGACTTTTAAGTTACTGGTCGGTCTACATTCCTACTGTCATATATAGCCATGAAATCTGGATCATGACTGAAAGAATGACATTGTGGATGAAAGCAGCTGAAATTAGTTTTCACTGCAGGTTGCCTCAGCACTACTTTGGTCATCCACCAGAGGCTCAGAGTAGAGCTGCCTCTCTTCCACATCAAGAGGACTTAGCTGTAGAGGTTCAGCAACCTTTTTAAATGCACCTGTAACACCTCCCTCGTCCCATTTGGAGGAGAGCCAGGGGACGAACCAAGACATGATGGAGGGAGTAAGTCACTTTGCTGGTCTGGGAGTGTCTCTGGCTTTCTGGGGAGAGGGCTCTCTGGTTGTCCCTGCTGAGACTGCTGACCTTTTGACCCGGTCTGAGATAAAGCGGAAGACACAGGTATGAGACAAGGAGTATGAACTGGTTGATTTAAAGGGATAAGCTGATAGTACGGACTGGTTTATTTAAAGCAGGGGTGCTCAAGTACAGTTCTCAAGAACTACTCTCCTGCAACTTTTTGATGCACCCCATTTTTAACACACCTGAAACAAATGAGTGGCTCGTTACCATGCCTCTGCTGGGCTAAATGAGGGGAGACTTTCGATTCCGGTGTGATAGGGCTGCATCTAAATGTTACGGGATGGTATTTCTTGAGGACTGGATTTGAGCACCCCTGATTTAAATGGATAAGGTGGGGGTACGATCTGGTTGATTTAAAGGGATGAGGTGGGGTATGAAGAAGTTGATTTAAAGACAAGCTGTGGAAACTGATCTAATCATTGCATCCCATTAGTTTGCACGGCCTTTTGGGGTTTCCAAAGGAGTTATTTCCAGGTTCAGTTAGCAAATAAAATATTTCTAAAGTAGCTTTCAATAAACTGCTGAAAGAAAATGTGCTTAAATGTCAGAAGAGTTTTGAGCCCTGAGCAAACTCTGAAGGGATTTTGCTAACAGATGTGAGGCATATACTAACAGATAACTTTATTAATAACATATAATTTTATTCATAAAGCATTAACAAACGGTTCCACGGGAAGACGGAACTGTTTGTATTAGTTAAACCCGGGTATGAAACAAGCAGAACTGCAGAAACAGAAAACACGATCACTGCAGTACCGCGGCCGGCCACGCGCACTCAGGCGCGCACACCTCCCAGTACCCCACTAATGTACGTCAGGAATTTGTAGAGAGCGCATGCGCAGCAGTGTATAGTGTACGGTACCGCCAGAGTGACAACAACCACGGCCGTTTGATCGGTGAGTGTCCACCCGCTTGGCCCCGGAGCCAGAGCCTGACAGAAACCCGGCCTGGCGCTCACATCCGGAAGAGAAGACGCCTCCAGGAACTGCGGTGTCTTT